TGAAACAGATTGATCAAGTCTGCTGGAGGACAAATTATGCACTGACTGCCGGAGTTCGTGTGTGTTCATAAAAACATGTGTATGTCAAATGTGAATGTGTGTATGCATTCACAAAAGCAGGCAGGAGATGGAGGGAAAGCGACAGCTCGCACGTTAATTACTCAAGCTAATAGAGCAGCTGCTGATTCACTCCCGCTCCGTCAGACGGGACGGGACGGGGGGCTCGGGCAGGACATGTGAAGCAATAAGATGGAAGTGCTGTGACTCCGGACAGAGGCTGCTGGGAAACGTTCTGAGAAAAGCCATTAGACTGATGTAGTTCAGGGGCTGTCTTTGGATGAGGACACGACAGAACGTTTTCATACAGCAGACACAGTATTAAAAGGTGCTCTTAGGATTAGGATTTAGTAAGTAAGTTCCCCAACACGAAAGGAGAGGACTTTAAAGCACAATTCCTCAATATTTTTGCTATGATTTTAATCGGAAAGAAACTTCTCTTGCTTTTTAACTTACTCCATTCCCCTGAGTTGCACTGGCCCCTTTGTTTCTATGGCAACATGTCCTCTGACAAACCCTTTTAGTTTGAGAAAATATTCAAGGTAGTTCTTATTAAAGAAAATAATTTGCTACTGTAGAGGTATTAAAGCCAATAAACTATATTTTAATTGCACAGTAAGGAGGTAAGTTGTTCAAACTTATGACATTTCATTTTAATATTTTAAACCTAAAGCAAAAGTATCCATTCAAGCTATTTAATATCCATATGTCAATATTAGATGCTAACACTTACATTTACTAAATCCTACACATTTGTTGTACATTTAATCAATTTCAATTCCAGCTTAATATGAAGCTTGATGCTTAGAAGTTTTAAATTGTTCAGTTGTTGACATCTAGCTGTATTTGGTATAAAAAGCTAAAAGACAACAACTTGGTTAATCATTTCAAATATGGAAATTCCTGTTTCTCCTATGTCTATAAATGTAACACTTTTGATTGTGGGATGTTGATTGGGCAACACATGCAGAGATCTTCTTGGGCTTGTGGAAATTGTTCATGCCATTTTTTTATTGTTTGACAATATAAACAATTGACTGAGAAATGAACAAATGCGGGTCCTAGTGAAAAGAATGATAGCAACGTACTACAGTATGTACTTTTCCACACACACACATAACAGTAGAAAACTTCATGCACAACAATGTCCCAATGGAAACGGAGAGTTCAACACATGGGGATTGCATATGGAGGCTGTGTGTGTGTGTGTGTGTGTGTGTGTGTGTGTGTGTGTGTGTGTGTGTGTGTGTGTGTGTGTGTGTGTGTGTGTGTGTGTGTGTGTGTGTGTGTGTGTGTGTGTGTGTGTGTGAAGAAGGGCTTTGCAGAATACAACAGTCAGCATATCTCTTCACTGCGCCTTCGCATTCACGGTAAAAAAAAAAAAGGAACCCTGCTACTCTTTCAGTAGATCTTTGGAAAGAAAGCCAAAATATTAGATTTAAGGTATTCAGTAAATAACATAATTATTATTTTTTTTTAAATGCAAAAGCAGGGGAGCTGAACATGCCATAAATTCAGCATGGACATGAGAAATATCAACGGCATGGTCACATTTTCACACGTTAATTAAAGTCTATATAAAGAAGTCTGTGAATGCGTGGCACATAAACGCTGATCACCACAAAGGCTTCCGCTTACGGAGTAGGAGCAGAGGGACGCTCTGATAACAGAGAGAGTGTAAGATTACGATAAGCCTCAGCCCTCCAGTTTCTACACTCAGGATTCTGAATCTGAGAAACAGAAGTGGGGAGCAGCTAAAGGAAGTGTTTCTGAGGAGGATTTTTGAGATATGGGGGAACTGCCCAGTAGAGGGCGCCCCTCACTTAATGGAGTAGAGAGGAGCACACTGACATCGACACACATACAGTATACACACACAATGCAGCATCTTAATTATATTCACCATGGCAATATTTTTATGGCCATTATTTTCAAAGTCATGTTCCAGATATTCCACCCCTCTCTCTTCACCCCGTCCTTCCTTGAGCCCTACACTGAATTTCTCAACTCGTGTCTCTCCGTAGGCAGACCCAGGCCTGACTCAACACTACTGTACTCACTAATGATCATCCAATGCCAGTGGTATTGTATGCCATCTGTTTAGCATATGCAAATACAACAAATACAAATACAACAGCGATGCGTAAATCCTAACAGTAGAGAAATACATGCTTACTGGAAATGGACAATCTTTGCACTCACTGACTGCGTTGCCAGGAAACAGGATGCCATGTTGTAAATACTACTGGGGGCACTGAAGTTGTTTGCCATTGTATGCGAGTGTGCCTTGCTAACAAGTAAAGACTGTAATGGTGTTTGAGATGCAACTGGTGGCTGAATGATGATCTATGAACTTTGGTGGAAGTAGTTTAAAAATGACGATGCACTACTGCTCACTATGGCTTCTTGACAGTGCAATGAATCAGAATAAAAGGCATTTTCAGGGAGGAGCAACTATTTATAAAGAAAAGGAATTTGTGCAATCGAGCGGATGCTGCTGTCAAGTCAACATAAAAAAGTTGAGGGTGTCTCGATTCAGGTATGGACAGATTTTAGGCCATGTGGATTTTTAGTTTATCGGTTCATCTGGTTGTCTTTTCACTTCCCATTGTTTTTATAGCACTTGAGTAAAGTTATGGAAACAGACTCCCATCCACCTCCCTCGTATTCATTTGCTAAAAGAGAGAAAAACACACAATTTACGAATTTAAGGATTCATTTGATCTATAGATATCGCCAAAATATCGCTTTGGGAGAAAAAAAACAATGAAAATCTCATATTGTGACACACAATGTGAAGACTACAACTACATATTCATCCTACACCAGCGCCTGCTAAAACGTCCCTAAAAAACAGCTTCACATATAAATATTCATGAGTTATTTTAATAAGTGTCCACTCTGTCAGAACACCTTGTGCTTAAGGCCGCTACACACCAACCTGAGACCAAAGAACGCGTACCGAAGGCGTCCCGACTTTTACGTCCGCTACGTCGGCTGCGCCGCCCACCTACGAACACACCGCAAAGACTTCAGTCGACGAGTGGCGATAACTGTCCTTACCAGCAGGCAGCGGTAGTGTGTATTCGTCATTCAAAAGAGGCAACAACCAATCAGAGTGATTTCTTTGGCCGACTTTCTTTGGCCAACTGTCAACACTGGCCGCGGGAGGTGTGAACATTTGCCGTAAAGAGACAACGATGCGGGACACACACAAGCCAAGAGATGCCCCCTTGGGTCCTCCATATTCAATGCCAGCCCTGTTAACTAAACATAAAGAAGCTCGTCCTGCTAAGAAAGCTAAGTCTTGTAAAATATTTCCCGAGCTAACATTTGTAAATCTCTTTACAAACTTTTTCTGTAATCAATTAAACCTAAGGATTTGTTTATTGTTGGATTGTTTAATACTAAGAGCCCCACACATCTGGCATCTTTGAAATAGAGAGATGAATAGAGTGGTTTAAATTAAAATGTGGCTCAGGTGTGGTTTCCTGAACATTTATGCTCAAAACCTCAGTAAAACTGCTGATTTACAGATTTGTGAAGTTTCTTATCGGCTTAAGTGCAGATGATCTCACCTGTATGCTCCATCAAACATTAATTTCACGCTGCGAGATGCCTACCGGTTATAACTCGGAGTTCAGTACTGCAACACCTAAAACTCCTAACAAGTTTCCAGGTCTCTCTTTATCGCCAAGGTTGCTGCGCCTTTGCTCTACTCTTCAGCATGCGTCTCACACCTGGCGAGGGTGTGCAGTGAGCTTTCTAATCATGTGTCTGAGAAACACAACATTCAAAGGGTAGAAATCAGTCTTTTCAGAACTAAGTGCAAAACAGAGGGCCAGGTTCACTGCAGAAGTGAACTAAAGGGCCATGAGTCTGATAAATGAGCGGACCTAGCAGAGCAGCATCAGGGAGGTTTTGTTAGTGGGATGGATGGTCAGAGCACATGCAGTCTCATTGCAGGTGAGGAGTTAGAGAGTCGCCCAGAAGTAAACGCACAGAGAGTAATAGAAGAAGAAGTCATTTTTGTTAGGACTGCGGCCATGTACCTGAGTATATCTCCCTGCTCTTCAATTTCATCAGCAACCGCTTGACACCTGCAATAATGTGAAGAAGCCCGTCATCATCACAACTTCCCAACAACTGTCCCTTCAATGTACCCCTCCCTCTGAACTGTGAGGGGTGAATTTGAGGCCAAATGGAGAACCCCATGTGAAGATCCTTTAATGAATTGTGTTACCGGTAACATTGTAACAGCAATAAAACAAAAGTATAGTAAGAGTCACAAAGGGATCAGTTCGTGGCCAAATAATAAGGGGTCAAATAAAAGCAAGAAAACGTTAAGGCACGCCATAGTCACGTTAGACCTAAAAGGAAAAAAACCTAATGAAGGTTGGAAAGCCAAAAAGCATTTGATGAGGATATATGTACACACATTTTAATTTTCTTACATACATTCTTATCCAAGAAAAAAACCCATTTGTGTCCAGAATGTGTAGTCACGTTAGAGCTTAAAATAAACATTGACGATTGTTGGCATCAAGCCTTCATCTGGGAGGATTTTTAGTTCTAACAAGACTATGACATGATGATAAAGGGGATTTAAATGTTAAAAAAACAGGCAGCCTTGTATTTTTTTATTTCTATTTTTTGTCTGCGTCTATCTTTAGAGAACCTAAAACAAACTATTTGTGTCCAGGATGTGGATTATGTGTGGTTTAACTACATACAACTATTTCAAAAATCAGTTATTAAGAGTAAATATATCCCGCACATGAGGTATGAGCCCACAGAGAGCAAACAAAAAAAACACAGACAGACAAAAGTCACCCACCCACTGTGACCCCCCCCACCCACTCCAAGACTCCCACTAACTGTCTCCCTCCTTGTGTGTGTGACAGGTGTGTTTCCTGGAGAGGGCACATCTGTGAGGTCCTTACCTGTGTTCCTGTCTGGTATGATACAGCAATGCTTCTTCAGTATGCCTGGCAACACCTTTCAAGAAACACAAGGCGGAGGGAGGTGGATTGAAAGAGAGACATAAAGAGAGAGAAGCAGATAAACAACATGAAGCTCAGACAAAAAGCACCGAGCCATGCAGCGACCAACAATTACAGAGTGGCACGATACACACATTTCTCACACCATTTGCGTCAAAAAGTGCTGCTCCCACAGTTATTTATCTAACACCTTTCTTCTGATGTGAGCAGTGGAGCACTAAATGATGGTCTCGGTGAGGATATATGTGCTGAAGGTTTCTTTTCTACTCTGATTCAGACTACAAACAGTCAAAAGATGGGTTTAATGGTGTGTGAAGGAAAATATGATACGCTAACACTCCATTGGAATGGAACAACATAGACTAAAAAAAGAAGAAAATTGCTGGATTGAGATGGGAGAAAGGTTGGCAGGGTTATCAGTCGATCTGGTGTGGACGCATCAACGGGGACAATGTTAGAAGTTCTTTCTGCTCCATCAGCAATCTTTCCATGCCAGGAAGTTGTAACAGCAAATATAAAAGCCAATTATTGCACAACTCACACACCTGAGGTGATCACTAATCAATATTACATGCTTACAGTCTATTCTGTGAGCATTACAATATAAACCTAATCAATCTTGGGTGTATCTTAGCTGCTGATATATTGCACCTATGCGAAATCATATCTCTAGCGGGTTAAAAATCGAACGAAACGTCCCTTTTTTCATTTATTTTTATGATGAGATTTTTGTTAAGCTTTGCGGTGACGCTGAATACCATTATCGGTGTTCACAAGGCACAGATATTCAGGATTTCAACTAAAAAGAAGTCTAGGGAACGCAAAAGGAGAAGGAGATGTGGGGGTGGCACAGCAGGTGTTATCAGTGCCTCTTTGTCCTTTGCCTCTGACTGACAGGCTCATTATTGTACAGAATCACTTTAGTAATATAGACAGCACTCCTCTTCTTTCTCTCTGCTCTACTTTTCATTGTGATAATGTTAAAGGTTCTTTTACATTTTCACACGGTGATTATATCCGGCTTCCCTGTCTCTCAGTGATTTTGCTTCTCTCTAGGACTGAACAAGAGCAATCAGATAAGTGACAGTTTTAATTAAGGAGACGGGCAGAATATAAAAGGTACCTCTTGAAAAGATAGAGACAACCAGGAAAGAAATAGAAATGAACTATAATGGCTTGTCTCTGGGGGCTTTTCAAAAGCTATATCAACGTACTATATAATTCATACAGGAGAAGGGCCTTAAGCAAATACTTTTGTCATCCTATCTCACTTTCTACTTTATCAGCAGCAAGAGGAGAGATAATCCATCAGTCATACAAACGCTTCCAAGCTAGTTTGTGCTCATAGTTTGCTTTCGTCCTTAAAATCTTAAAATCCTAAATACTGTCCTACTGTATGTAACATGAATTTAAACTTCAGTTTGAAGGAACAGGTATAAGCTCTTACTTTTACTTCTATTAAAAAAAAAACATACGTCCTACCATTCCAAATGCATTTGATGCTTATATTAGTCATTTGACCTCTAGCAATAAAGTTTTTTCATATCCTTAAATCTTACTTTTTCTTTCCTGGATAGAAAGGATTTTTCAACGTTTACAACAATTCATTAGAAAATCATGTGCTTGTGACATACTGAACATACTGGCAGACACCTGATAATTTGATTATGAAGTCAAGCCAACCCATTGGTTCAGCAGTGATCACAGGGCACACCACTGTAGCCTGTATTCAGACCGTCTATGATTCAGACGTATGATCAAATTAACGATTCAACATCCTATTAGACTGTTTAGAAAATTGCACAAAGCCTTCAGCATGGCTGTTTCCTTAGCTCATGAATTGTTTTGGGAATTTTTGGATATACATAGTTTTCACAGGACAGTGTAGATTGGTATTATTATCTGGTCTTAAAAGTAGCTTAACCTACGGAGCTTAACAAAGATACAAGCTTTAACTAAAGCTAATAGGGACAAGTTGTGACAAACAACGTCAAATGACTTGAAAGGATTCTTAATGAGTGCCTTCTATTCCATATGCATCAAAATGCTATTCAGAAAACACGTGTAAAGGACAGTTGTGTGGTGGCCACAAATAGAAATCTCTGCAGAGATGAGATGATTGCTTTGTAATGACTCAAACAGCTGCATGATGTTCATACAATTATTGATGCTGGCTAGCTGGGTGATGGCAGCGGCTTGTAGTGGAGGAGGAGTGTGGAAACAAACTCTCAGAGACACTCTTTAGTGTTTCAGACACACAGAGCAGAGCAGAGACGCGGGAAGGTATTTTGAGTGGGGGTGCTGAGGTGCTGGACTCCAGTGAACACTATTACGGGCACTATAGAGCACGCACAAAAGCACTCCCCACACGCAAACACACAGTACACCCTCGACTGTTACAATGAAGGCTCGATAATCAGCTCACGGCATATAGGCAGGGGTAAAGTGCTATTTTTTACGAGTGGGGAGCGGACCTCACCTCCTCTATGGGGGTCCGGGGAGATGGTCCTCCGGGAAGATTTTTTTTAAATATTGAAGTTAAAAGCATCAATCTGGTGCACTTTGAGAGCAACATTAAGAGATCTATGGATACATCTCTCAACACCCAGATGAAACACAACTGTAAGCAGATGTTCTTTTTCTTTATGGATATTTTACAAATCACTCCCCTTTCAAACTGTATTCTTGTTTTACTGCCATATAGTCTTTCATAACTGTTTTCCCTTTATTCTCTTATTTGTTTTATAACTATAATGATCATATGAAGGTGTGCCGCGGAAATAATCTTTTGAATAATTTGTGACCAAACCGTTTGAGACCCACTGAGATAACTTAGACTAAAGTTAACTATCTAAACACTCAGAGAGTCCTTTAGCTCAGTCTGAGAGGAGAGGACCCTCCTCCAGCTTGTTGTGGAACACACACACACACACACACACACACACACACACACACACACACACACACACACACACACACACACACACACACTTTTATTTCCATGCAACTCTGATTGGTCTGGTGTCTTGCCGCTGTTGCATTCACTGAACACTGGAAATTACAGTCCTGCCGTCCTCTCTAGTGTCATGATGAGGTTCACGTAAAGCACGGTTAATGTATTATATTATTGAGGTAGAATTGTCCGGGACTACAGAATTGTAGCCAACAATGTGGAATTTATTGGCTACATATTACACAGATTATGCACAGCGGGAGCAGCAATAACCGTCAAATAATAATTCAGACAGGGGAGCTCCGCACCCCCTGCCTGCCGCTAGGGGGTGCTGCAGCGCCCTCAGCACCCCCCTTCCCGCGCCATGGAGCAGAGTCCTGCACGGGTCTGATTTTCAAGACCCGCTCCCGCCCCGCTCCCGCGACGTGCAATACCGAACCCGCCCCGCTACCCACACATATTGCCAATTAGTTCCACAACCCGACCCGACCCGTCGGCACAAGATCCACAACCCGACCCGAACCCGCATATAGGCTATATGAGCAGTGAAAACGTGCAATTATTAACACACGCAGTTGCATATTTGTCTCAAAAAGCGTGGGATGTTAGTTATTTTCTCCATCTAGGATGACACCAAAAGCCTTCTCGACGTTGGATTTTGCTCTTGAGGAAGTGTTATTGAAAATGCTGTATTCTCCACTAGAGAGCTTCACCTCAGCCATTTTGAATGTGGCGCGCTCAGCAGCAGATTGATGTGCTGCAGAGGTTATGATTATGCGCGGTCCCGCGGGGGAGAGGTCTGAGGATTTAACCCTCCGGTATCATTCGATTGGACTACGCAAATTAGTCATTCGAGACAAAAATGTCCACTGTAAAATGCTTTGATAAAAACATTATATTAAAAGGTTTTTTTCACAACTTTTTTGGGTTCAATCTTTAAAACAACTTTCCCTAACTTTCCCTAATGGAAAATACCAAAAATGTAATCATTTTCAGGATTTTAACCCTTTAAATGCCATTTTGAATACATGAAACCGCTGTTTTTTTTCATGATGAAAACAGAGAAAATTAGTTATTTTCCAAAAAATACATATCTGGGGACTGGCTCTTTTTTTATAACAGTCTTGGATATGTCAAAGATTAGCAACAAAATGGATTTTTTTGCATTATTAGTTTTTGCACAAAATCAGATTGAACAAAAAACTTACAAATTAGTCATTCGGGACAAAAATGTCCACTTCCAAAAACTGCTCTAAAATGACAACAGATTAATATATTTTTTTTAATTTTGGTGTTAAATCTTTCAATCAACTTCAGTCCTGATCAAAAATACCAAATGTTAAATTATGGTCAGGATTTTAACCCTTGAACTGCCAGTTTAAAAACATGAATTTGCGTTTTCTATGAAAAACATGCACAAAAAGGCAGTTATTTTCCATATAATAAATGTTGAGGGGGGTCGGCTTTTTTTTTAATCACAGTCTTGGATATGTCAAAGATTAGCAACAACATTGATTTTGGTGTATAATTATTTTTTGCACAGAATCAGATTAAACAAAAAAGTCACACATTAGCCACTCGCGGACAAAAATGTCCCATCCACTCCCATTATAACCACATCTTTTGATCTCTCCGCCATACCGGTATATAATCATGCATTTTGTAATGTCAGGGTTTTATATTGGAGGAAAATAGTTCAATTTGTCCTTTTTACTGTAAAAACCAGATGTGACATTTTACCATTGAATTACATGCTTGTCATTTATTGGTTTCTTTGCCTGTTGTATAATAGGGCCCTGACAGCCATTGTAATACATGTATGCAACTAATATGATGTAGGTGTGTTGGTATGGATGTGGAAGAGTGGTATCAGCTGAGAAATGTATGTGTGTGTGTGTGTGTGTGTGTGTGTGTGTGTGTGTGTGTGTGTGTGTGTGTGTGTGTGTGTGTGTGTGTGTGTGTGTGTGTGTGTGTGTGTGTGTGTGTGTGTGTGTGTGTGCACAGAGACAACAATATACAGTAGATTTGGTTTACAGCAAGTC